TTTACGTATTTACTTTTACTCGTTTTGGAGGGTTTTTTCTTTGGACTCTGAGCTTGAATTCTGGACGATGATTTTCGCCTTAATTTCATGGTTTCTTTCTTTTTTTTATTCCTCATTTTTCCTTGGGTATTGGTTTATTTGTGCAAAGCACCTAAGATTTTTTCAACAACCACAACTATATATATATATATATATATATATATATATATATATAGTTGTATATTAGAGCTGCAATCCCATCTTTATAAATGTTTCGTTAAAGACGACTGAAAAAGTACTGCAATTAAGCAATTTATTTATTTTAATGTTTGATTTTTATGTTTTCTTTTCTGTATAAATTGTACAAAGCTTATTCGAGTGGTTTTGGCTATTCCTTTAGCCATGATAAAGGACCAAAATAAATACCATCCCTGATAATGGCTAGAAGAACAGCCGAAAGCGCTTGGATATGCAGAACTTTTGGACAGTTTTTACTAGTTTTTTAACACTTATGTGACCAGAAAAGAACACTTAAACGAACACGAGAAAAATTAAATAAAAAGCTTGTAAGTCGTTTTAAATATATATATATATATATATATATGATAAAATTTATTTTTAAGGTATGCTATGTTTATGGGTTAAAGTCCTCTATATCAGGGAAAAAGCGTATATAAATATAATTTTTTTTCCGTTATTTTTAAAACAAACCCAGAGACGACCGTCTGTTCCATGCCTAAATGATGTATATATATATATATATATATATATATATATATTATAAAGAGATAATCATACATTGAATCATTTAGCAATATTAATGTAATTAATGGCGAAGCATTAACCTACTAACAATCCACTGAATTATATGATGCGATCCTTATGTGACGTCGTCCCCCGGTCGCAGCGCCAACTGTGACGTTCTATCCTGATCTACCACGGCGCCAGTTGTGACGTCCCCAAACAGCACCATTTGTGACGTCCTCGCCGCGGCGCCAGCTGTTCGCTCATCGCTGCTCCGTTCGGGTGTCACTGCTCCAAACGTGACATCCGTGTTGTCTCGTCCTGTGACGACCAACTGGCTTGGTATCGGTCGCGGCACCCAAATGTGACGTTCTAACCTTTTGGTGATTCGGGTGGGAATCTGGTTAGATTTGATATCAGCCTCGTCGTTCCCAACTCGCTTCCAACGCCTGGTTACCAAGGTAACTGCATTGATCTCCAGTCTGCCTACCCACGTTGTGAATTGATCTTAGGCAGACGAGATCAAACAGTGGTTGGGGCCGTAATGCAAACTGAGTTCAACGGGGTGATAACACACAAATATGCATAAAAGAAAATAAAATGAAAACTCAAAAAGTTCAAAGTATCAAAGAAAAAGGTAACAAACGTTATGTCTAGTTGTTCGATACATAGGACTGCATCTATCTCTCGACCCGTTCTGTGGATTGTGACACGTCGTTTTCCGTTAGGCAAGTTTTAACGCTTCAAGTTGTTTGCTCTCTAAGAAATTGGTGTTTCGGTGTGTCTTTGGACGAAAGTCGAAAAAAACTTATTTCGGTGGTCTGGTTCTAAGCCGCTCTTCAAAATAATTGTTCTTGGGTTGAAGAGGAGTCCGGAATTTGCGTGAATCTTGGTCAGCTATCTCGAGGCGGCTTCAACTCTGGAAACTCAACTCTGGAAACTCAACTCTCCGCTGGAGCCCGAACTGATTTCTGCCTGTTGGGGCCTCGCTTTTATTGACGCCGACCAAAACCGGGGTGGGTCTGTTGGCGTCGGGGGTTCCTCGATAATTCTAAATACATATCCACCTCTTTTATTTCTGGTTAGGGATTTTCCACTCTTTTCCATTTTTGGGAACCTTTCCTCACTCCCACTTTCTCACCATACTTCTGAGGGGCGTGAACTGCCCTCCCCACTTCTTCGTAGCAGCTTCTCATACTTATACTCTGGATGGGGCGTCGACAGCCTTCTTCGTGCGTCACGTGATCACTCTCGGCCAATGAGGTCTTGGTCGGGTATCTTTCCTCCTCCTTCGTGCGTCACGTGATCACCACTTGACCAATGATGTCTTAGTCGGGCGTGAACAATCCGCGACTTTGTTTCAGGAAAAAAAGTATCTTGCTTAACTAAAAAAAAAATTATCTCTTCTCTTTCCTTTTCTTCCTTTAAATCGCCGTTATCATTTCTCTAGCCACGAACGGACAATATGACAACTCTTGTTCTACACGTGGTGTTTGTCAGGTATTTTATCGCTAATTTATCAAGATGGGTGGTCTTCTTAACATGGTTTCAAAAAGAAATATCCCAAAGTTTTCAGTCAGTCTGTCGCCTCCAAGGAAGAAGAAAAACACTTCTGGGTCCCCATTCATTTTCCTTCGGTACATATTTCTGATAACATAATTTTATTATCGCAGGCCAAAGTTGTTTCGTCGAAAAAAAATTCGGTCAGCGGACACTGCTTGTGTGGATTTTAATTTTTCATATCTGTCCAAAGTCCTTTTTAGTGGCCTGTTTTTCGTCACTTATCGAAATAGCATTTTCACTTGAATTTTTCTTTGGCCAGTGGTCCAGCCGTTCGTTTACGCACCTAGATAACACAGCCGTTATCAAAACACATCTGATTCCTTCTTTCTTTCCCTTTCTTTTTTACTCAGAAATTCCCTGTCATTGTAATGACACCCTTTTTCATTTGTTACTTATCAATATTTTCATTGTCTCTTAGCCGTGTGCGTGGCTGCTTATCACCTACGATTCGTCTCGCCTTTCTTTCTGCCTTCTTTTCTTTCTCTTCCTTTCTCTGCCTCGTAAATGGTGCCACACTTATATGTAAAATTGTTGTCAGATAAATTTGGTGTATTTTTAGAGTACAATACTTTATTAGAAAAGGTCTTCATATCCTCATAAAATTTTAAAGGCTGTAATTTTTTTCTTTAAATCAAAAACTCGAAGACGAAATAAATGTGTTTTTTGACCGAAAAGATTTTTTGTTTACATGAAGATTTCCAAGCAACGAAAAACTATCAATGCATATGAGACGCTAAATATTTAAAAATTGAAATTAAAAAAATTTTATCCATGTCCACGCTTTGTGAAAATCTAAAGTTATTTTGATGAGTCTACAACGTAATTTCCATTTGTTCAATTAGTTATATCTTTTATTTTATCGTAGATGTTCTGTTTGTTGCTAAAAGGGTGTTCAATTTTTCCTTGGCTATTTCAATTTGCTTTTTCACAATATATAATTCACGTATATAATTCCAAGTGTTGATAGTTTAATCCATAGTAAATGGATCATGTGTGTATATATATATATATATTTATATATATATATATATTTCGACAGTATTGAATTTAAAAAATAACTAGGGTATACGAGGACTGTTACTGTTTGCATGTGAGATGTGGGTTGTCTGTCGGGATCATATAATATGTATCACAGAATATAATATGTATCATAGAGAATCATGTAGAATATAATATGTATCATAGAATATAATATGTATCATAGAGAATCATGTAGAATATAATATGTATCATAGATTATATGTATCATAGACTATAATATGTATCATAGAATATAATATATCACTTGAGCGCTTCTATCAGCAATGCTTAGTGCTGTCAAGAATAGTAGAATTCAGTACGACAGCATTGAACAACAATTTCTGAAACTAACGTCTCATTTGAGTGGACATTGAAAATACGGTTTGCCGAATATTTCACAATTATTTATAAAGATATATTTCAAAAAAATCTGGAAATTTTAATATTTTATTAAAAAGTTTTCTTAGAACTGTGCCATCTACGAATCTCCGGGTTTGTATTATTTGTTTATAAAAATTTTGCAGTCGCAATAAATGATGATAGCATACAATTTTGTTTATTTAAACTTAGATTGGAAAAAATTTTTTTTAATTCAAAAAGTGAAAAACAATACTTTTACTAAATCATTAATTTTCTATTTACAAGTTTATAATCATTACATGCCTTGAGGTGCCCATTCTATAATTCTTATAGTGACAAGAATGTAAAAAATAAATTTTACTTTTTAATTCATATATACAGTGACGGAATTTTAAAAAAATTAAACACGCTGTAGAATATATCGAAACGAAACATCCTTAAAAAAAATGTCTGATATTTTTTAGAAGCTTCTTCATAGTGTGTCAAGAAATTGAAGAGTGGTGTTCTGTTGAATATTTACGTGTTAATCTTCAAGATAATTAATTTGTCGTGACAAAAAATTTTTTTAAATTATTTTAATTTGGTTTTTGTTGTTAAAAATTTTTCTTAGTGAAAGATTTTAGAAGCCATTTTATATAGGGCAAAATGTGTCACGAATATATTTCTATGAATAAATGTAACACGAAAAGAGGGACTTTAAAATTGAAAGCAGGAAGAATATAAAAGAATAAATATATAAAAAAAAAAATTGATTTATATATATATCTATTTTGGTGATGGTAGTGATAGATTTTGGTGATTTTTAAAGCAATCCATGATAAGAAAAAGACCCACACCAGGCGGAGGACATATATTATTTAATTTTGAGTTCAGATATTAGAAAATGGCATGAAAAAATTTATCAAGGAAATGAAGGCGAATATGGTCAGCAAGAACAGGATAAAGGAGAAGGAAGCGGAAGTAGAGAATGATGAGTAAAACTTTTTTTTCAACCCCTTTAAGACATTTTGTAAAAAAAAATTTTTGGAGGGAAATTTGTGAAGAGGTTATTGGGGTTTATACAAAGAAATGATTGTTTTAATTATTATTAAAGAGGCAAAAATATTTTAAAGGAAAATTAAAATTTTTCAGGAACCTGAAGAATTCAAAAATTTGTGGGTTGGTTTGAATACGAAATGAATTTATTTTTTAGGAGAAGAAGGGAAAACTTTGATAATTCGGATTAATGTGGATTAATTTGTCGGTTTTTATTTTCCAAATTTAACTACTTGGCCATTCAATGACTTTACAATGATAAAATGAACAAATTCAAAACATAGAGAGAGAAAGGATAATTATAGAGAAAACAATAAAGAAAAGATTTTTCTGAAAAAAAAAAAGAATTGATTTGAACGAGAAGGTTGAAGATTTGGGGGATGAAGAAATGGAAAGAAAGAAAGAAAGAAAGAAAGAAAGAAAGAACAAGACATGAACAGAAAAGTTTTAAAGGACGACAAGAAAAAAGGAATGAAAGAGGAAAAACAACAAACAAAAGAACGTATAAAAGAAGAGAGGAAAAGGAAAGAAAAGAAAAAAGATAAAAAGAAAAGAAAGAAGAAAAGAATGGAAGATGAATAAACGTGACGAAAACAAAGAAACACAAATAAAAAGAAAGAGAAAAAGAAGGGATAATGAAGTAATGTCACAAAAGAAAGAAAGAATAGAATTATAAGAACATTAAATGAATAAAAAAGGATGAAAAAAAAGCGAATATCATGAAATAAAAGTTTGAAGTTTTTCAAAAAGAAAGTGTTGAATAAAGGAAAGAATGAAAGAAACGTTGTTTGAAAAAAAGACACTAAAAGAACAAAGAAAAAGAAAACAAAAAAAAAAATTACAAAGAAGACATAAACATTCAAAGGAAGCGATTGAAAAAAGTAAGCACAGCCTACAATGACGTCACCGGTATGTAAATTTGGTGCAGAAGGCTATGCGGTCAGGCCTTAGGTCAGTCAAATGGCTCTGTAACTCCCTTCACTTGCCGCAGCTCGTTCGTTAGCTTCGGGCAGACACGCCATCGACAGATAGTGAGAGACTCTTGCAGATTAACGAATGTCATTGGATAGAGACATAAACGAGAAGAGGCGGACAGCTACGAGATTAGACACGAGAATCCCGCATCCATTATAAGGTCAATATGGCTGGCCTCACATGACAGAGCTTATCAATATCCGCATACAGTTGTGTACTTCGACGCAATGTGTTCGTGTGTAGATCTGATATTAATCTATGTGTTCCGATATAATGAACGGTGTGAATTTGGCTCATGAGTACGTGCATTTTGCATAATATAAATAGGAGGGGATGCTGAAAAGTTCCTGGCCCGATCAAACCAATTCCAAACACAGAATTGCAGTGACCAATTATTAAACATTTTTCCCTTCTTTCTCTTTTTTTCATACGTTTGGGTCGGGGTCTGTTAAAAGACCTTCAGTAACGATGCTAAACTGAGGGTGGGTGAAGATATTGAATAGCATCTACTTCTCAACCTCATTTTTTATTAATTTCTTAATCGAGCCGATAAAGTTTCAATTTGAATTTTTTTTATATATATATATATATATATATATATATATATATATATATATATATATATATATATAAATATATATATATATATATATATATATATGATATATAAGAATAATATAGAGCATTCACCAAACTGTCGCCATTTTCTATTTTTGCAATTTCGTAAAGTTATGCGTCTTGGCTGAAGCCAATGGCAATTTTATAGAATAAATTTACTCTTTAGTGTTTCAAGATATTTTTTCTGTAATTTTGTTAAATATATCTGTTAAAGTGAGATGTCAGTTTAATTTTAATTTTTGCGTAATTTAGATGACAATTTATCATCTATATGTGTGTGTGCGTGTGTGTGTGTGTACGTGTGTGTATGTGTGTTTGTGTGTGTAAAAGACGAGGTAATGAATGCGTATATATTATTGTCTCAATATCTTTCTGCCACTCTCTCTTTGTATGTGTCTCTTTCTATCTCTCTCTCACTCTCTCTCACTCTCTCTCTTTCTCTTTCTCTTTGTATATATATATATATATATATATATATGATCAAAATGTTATGGTACCTTTATGTGTTAAAGTGCTCAATATCAGGAATAGAGTGTATGTAAATATAAAAGTGGACGCTGTGCCTTTCAACAGCCAGCGGCGACAGTCCGCTTCATGCTTCAACGCAATCTTCAACCCTGAAGGTTGAGTTCAAACATGAAACAGACTGTCGCCGCTGGTGTTGACCTCAGTGTCTTTCTCACACACACACACACACACACACACACACACACACACACACACACACATATATATATATATATATATATATATATATATATATATATATATATATATATATATGCATTGACACATATATAGAAAGAGAGTTAAATGATTGATTTGCTATTTTTTATTTACGGGTTTATCACCAATTTCGTAGAGTTATTTAATGCCGAGACATATTTTGGATTGTAACAATAATTCTTTTATTTTTCGAATGAATAGTGAATTAACAATTTTGGGGAGGTAACAATAACTTCTCCAGATACAAGACTTATTATTTAACCCATAGTTGTGGGGAGAAGAACAAGTGTATTTGCGTGTATGTAAATGTGAAGAATTCGACACGAATTTGAAATCGGTTACCCTATCTCTCATTTATATGGGGAGAGAGAAAGAGAGAGAGAAAGATAAAGTGAGAGAGAGTGAAAATGAGAGAGATAAAGCGAGAGAGAAAGAAGAGAGAGAGATAAAAGGAGGGAGAGAGAGCGAAACAGAGAGAGAGATAGCAATAAGAAATAGAGAGAGATATAAAGTGAAAGAGAGCGAGAAAGAGATAAAGGGTGAGAGAGCGAAAGAGAGGGAGAAAAACTGCAAGAAAGAGAGAGAGAAAGGGAGAGAGAGAAATAGAGAGAGATAAAGGGAGAGAGAGAAAGAGATTGCGAGGGGGAGAGAAACAGCGAGAGAAAGAGAAAGAGAGACAGTGGAAGAGAAAGAGATAAAGAGTGAGAGAGAGAGAAAGGGAGAGAAAGACAGGACGTGAAAAAGAAAGGGGGAGGGGGAGAGCGAAGGTGAATGTAAGCTTCTCCTGTTTCGAATATGTATTGTTTATTCTCAGGTGTAAACTTGTAAAGAAACGATGATAAAATACATACTATACGCCTTACGGACATATCGCTATAGGTTAATTTGTAACACTTGTATTCAGTCAGTTATGTGCCATCTTTCGATACATGACTGACGAGGCAGATTTTTTCCCGCATTAAGTTGCCATTACTTTCTGCAGTAGACCAGTTGCCATCCAAGACTACAGAACACGGTCTGTCCTGCTATTTATCCATAGATGGGGGGAGAAGAAGAAGCTTCATACTTTTCCCAAGAATTCGAAGTGGGCTCTCTGATTCCTCAATTCGAGCCGCTATCCATTACTCCAGCGGGTCTCATCTTGTATTACTAAATCTTTACTATCCCCAAAACATTTCTTGCACTCAATGTGTTGATAAAATGTAAAAAATGAATCAATCAATCAATATATATAAAAACACTGAAGTCAACACCAAGAGGCGACAGTTTTCAGGTCAGGGCTTGAAGATTGCGTTCAATAATGAAACAGACTGTCGTCACTCGGTATTGATCTCAATATCCATTCTTATATCTACACACTCTCTATCCTTGATATTGTGCACTCTTACCCATAAATATACCACTCCTCGAATATATTATTTTATCACATACATACATATATATATATACATATATAAATATATATATATATATATATCCTTACCCCCTCCTCCTCAATATTAATTATTGTAATAAAATAAAATGAATTTTAAAACTCTCCTTCCTCTCTAAACTCGACCATGTCTCTCACACTATTCCTCATCACGCTCTATGTCACCTTTATATGTTTTAACACTGCAAGAAAAAAAGTGTAAATTTTAAATTCATTTTTTCACCTTTGAAAGTGAAATCTGAAGATCAGAGAAAAAATAAAATTCTCTGGTGAAATAAATTATCACTAATGGAGCCTTTAAAGTGGTCTGTTTTTTTTTAAATTATATATATATATATATATATATATATATATATATATATATATATATATATATACCAACAATTTTTCATTTATTCAAAGTTTATTTGAAGTGTGTTCGTTTGGCAATTTATGTAGTATAATATTTTTGTGTTTTTGACAAGAATATGTCGGATTTTTTTGTTGGTGATTATGTGATTCAATTGTTCCATTACAGGATAAATGGCAAGTTAACCGGTGCGATATTGTAGTGATTGTGTAACCAATGTATGCGTTATGTGAATTGTTATTATTACAAAAATATTTTCCAAGTGTTTATGCGAATCCATAGACATTAGTTTATTGGAGTGTTGATTTTTGTTGTATCCTTGGTGGTGACCATGTTAAATGTCTTTCATTTAATTCATTAGTTTCATTTGCTTTTGAACATGCATTGATTTGTTCGTTTCTGTAGAATTGTTTTATGTCACCTTTATTGTCGCCTTTATTGTCGCCTTTATTGTTACCTTTATTGTCGCCTTTATTTTCGTCTTTATTGGCGCCTTTATATTCTAATTTTCTAAAAAGATTCCTTTATAGATTTAAGATTCCTTTACAGTTTTTTTGTCTTTTACACTTTATTTCCATGTTTAACTGCGACACTGACACTAATCCTATGACAGATTTTTCTCGTATTTTTTTAACAACGCATACGTTTGCATTTGGTAATCTGTTTTATTTTCAAAGTTCAAAAGAATTTCAATTTTCTGTTTTCCAGGTCAGCCTATGGTTTTCGTTCCTTTTGGTCGAACCTAAGGAATTTGACTAGTTCCTCGTGACCCGCCGTTCCTAACCAGTTGTTACTACTTTCTTTAAACCTACTGAAGAAAATTACTGTATTTAATGATACGATTTACAATTTCATTTCCGTCATCACACTAACGACATATTCTATTATGTTCTTTTATGCCTCTTGCATTTCATGAAGTTTCATTTTAAAGATGTTATTGGATATTCTGTTTCTCTATTCAAGTGTTCTCTGCGCAAACACGTTAAGATATTTTAATATCTAATTCATTTTGTTTATCAAAGCGCCTTTTACTTTTTCTTTTTCATCTTCTGTTTGATTTTCTATCGTCTTTTCTTCTCGTTTTCTCTTTATTTTACTTTCTTACGATTATTACCATGATGTAACTATTGAGCTCTTGAAGGGAAAGAAAAGACGACAAGGCCCACTCGATGACCAGACACCCGGTTTTAGTGACATGCTTCTAACACTTCAAAATACAATATTACGGAATAACGAGGGTATCACGTCTAAAAAAAATTCCTGGGTGGAATGGTTTATTCAGACTCTGCTTGTTATCAGGCGAAAAGGAAGTGACAGGGAAAAAAAGAAAAATCGCAAAAATAGAATTTTAGAGCTTAACGATTTTTTAGCCATACTTGTGAGGTGATGTTCTAAAAAGTTGATTACTTCCGGCGTCTTCCACCTCACCTAATTTCTTAGCTGTCGTTGTTGTCGTCATCGGCCTTTGTTCTTTCTTTTATACTAACAACATATTCCCACAAAAAAAACACCCATAAGACGTCTCCGGGTCTTTACAAATAGCAACGAAAACAGACCTTAAAAAGAAAAAACACAAAATGAATATCAAGTTAAACGTCTGGGAATGCGAATCAATATGGCATACAGAGTATCTCAAAAGGTGTATACAATTTTTGAATTTTTATTGAAACGGTATCACACTACATCTCCAGTCACTTTCCAAGCGTCGTGACGTGGCTTCCTCTGCCTTTTCTATAAATATTTTCACGGCAATTGTTCTGATGGGCTTTACACCATTGTACCTTGACCGCATGAATTTAAGCGTAGTACTAGCAACTAGGTTTCCGTATTTTTACTAAATAGTTAAATGCAACCGCAAGTTCTATTCAAATAGTTTTTTCTCGCACTTCTTGACTGTGCAACTCTCTTCCGGTTTCTTACTTCTTTGACACCTGCAATCTTCAAGAATTGAAATGCACCGCCATTTACTGTCTTCCTGGAACTTGTTCTTTTATTGTCCTTTCTTCTCACTCTCTTTCACACTCAGTAACCCTCCCTTGCGTCTTAGTGGTTTCATCGCCTTTCCTGGAGTGAAATGATTTTAAAAAAAAGTACATGGGAAATATCATTTTTTCTGATTACTTTTCCTTTTTTTCGAAACGTTCCGTATAGACGTGAACAAAATTTTGGTGGCGTTGAATAAAAGTTTAAGCTTCTATCAGGGGTGAATTTTCAATATTTTACAAATCTGTCCTCTACTGAGCAATCAGTAGGAGATTTCTTTTTTATCTAATGCCAAGCCCAAGAGCCACTTAATACAGAGGGTTGCTGAATGAGGCTGTTGTATAGACGTAAGAGAGAAAGTAATTACAAATTATGAGGATATGTAGGATAGATTGACC